GATGAATATCGTTAATGACCGGAAACATCCCGTTGGAGTGATTGGAAAGTGAGGGAGAAAGAGATGGTGAGAGGGAAAGGGCATAGTCAGATCCCAGCGGGATAACACTCTTTAGGCCCACTCCAAGTTTCGCCTTAGATGATTCCAAAAAATAAAAAGATAAAAAAAATGATGACTGATATTAGTACATCTTTGAGCACTTGTTCTTTATCATGTATCATTTTTTATTTTATTTTTCCTTTGTGTGTTGTTGTGCTATTGCCTCTTCATGTCTAAAGCTCCTGTCATTTTATTTATCTCATCTTTTTTTTTTTTTTTAATATAAATTTCAATCTTCATTGTACTGGTGAGACTGTTGCCACATTGGTCGCACCCCTTTCATATTTTCGGCATGACAATGTTTTTTACGCCAACACCAAATGCTCATCAACTTTGATGTTAATTAAGTGACGATGTTCGTCAATTCCCCTCAGTCGAGTCGTTTCCCACTCATCAAGATGATTAATTGATTGATCAATCTCGCTGAAAATCGAACGCTTGTATATTTCATCGGTTGATTTTTTTACCATTGTTTTTTTATGCTCACAACCATCATTGTGTATTAATTTAATTAATTCACCGACATGCTACAAACATCATCACTTTTAGCGGTTTGGGTTTCCTTGCTTCTTTTCACATTTGTTTGTCGGCATCATGTCTCTTATGTTCGTGCAACAGTTGATAATTCTTTGTTTTATGCTGGTCGACTTGAACTTCCAAAAATTGTTGACATGATAGGTGGTAGTTGTAATTATTAAGGGAGAAGAGGACAACAAACGAGGGGTTGTGACAAACTGTTTCGTCGAAGTTTCACTGACTCATTAGGAAGCTGAACCCTCGACAGTCTGCAGAATCCTCTAACTGATTACACTGTAACTGACAATGCATCTTAACCCCGACTGTGGTTAAGCATCAACGACTGCACGACATCTGATACCCTGGGGTGGGCACCAACTACTGCCCTCAAGGTACGTGTGACGAAAATCAAAGCAGACTATCACTCATCCATACCAAATGGAAAACTATGTCGGTTCACACCCTATCACAAACAAGCAAAACACTCACGAAACAAAGAAAGGTTTGTCACAACAAAAAAATACACTCCAGACAAGCTGTTGGCACTAAAAGTACAACATGGGCGCATCGTGACGGCCCTGATTACTGCCACTCGATCTGATCGGAGAAAACCGTAGCAGGGTGCTAGCGAAGTCGTGGTATATGTAGTCAAACAGAGTTGCCCGGTAAACCATAGGCAAAGAGGAAGAAGAGGACAACAAATGAGGAGCTGTGACAAATTGTTTCGTCGGAGTTTATGTATATATACATATATGATCTCTCCGACGATTAATAGTAGAAGTCTTGGTCTTTACTTATATATCAGTCTCCTGATGCGTCCATGAAACTCCAAGAAAACAGTATGTCACAACCCCTTGTTTGTTGTCCTTTTCTCCCTCTATGCCTGTGGTTCACTAGGCAGTTCTCAATAACGAGATATATCGCCTCGTTGCAATACACTAGACTCTCAAAGTTCACTAAATTCTCTAAAATTTTTGAGAGTTCACCTAGAGCTGTCGGATTGGAAAAACTCTCGAAATTGATGCCATCGCTGCATGAGCACGCAATTCTAGAATGACTCTATAAACCCTGACAAGTTTTCGAAAGTGCTTGAACAACACTAGGTTGGTCGAGAAATTGGAACTGGAAGTCTACTTTCGAAAAAACGCGGTTGGAAATAGGCAACTCCGGACCTCCCTTGAAAATCGTGGACTTACAGGTGGGCAACTCTCGAGTCTTGACGCTTCAAGAGTGCCCTTCGAGAGTGCCGTATGACAAACTCTCAAATGCGTTTTGCGGGATTTTGAATAGAGAATCAGTCCATAGACAACAAACTTTCGAAGTTTTGAGAGTCTATTGTAGTGCTGCGAGGCCCATGTGTATCTATGTATGTATGGTTACTTTCATTTATTGGTTATTGGTACGTTTTTCATTTATTGGTTATTGGTCCAGAAAATAGTCCAAAGGGATCAGTTGGTCCTAAAAGCGGTCCATTTCCTGCCAGTCACATCGGTCCAAAAAGCGGTCTACTTGCTGCCGGTCACCCAAAAAGAGGTCCAAGCAGGTCAACTGGTCCAAAAAGTGGCCCAAATGCTGCTGGTATGAAAAGTCCAGTCTGTCCAATTGGTCCAAAAAGCAGTCCATGTCCTTCGTGACATCCGTTAAAATTGGAACGATACAGAGAAGATTAGCATGGCCCATGCGCAAGGATGACACGGATAAATCGAGAAATGGTCCAAAAAAGAAAAAAATAATAAAAAAATTCAGCTGCGTGCCCAGCTCACTTGCCGTACTATTCTTTCGCCTCTTACTAAAGAATACCGTGGGCTGAGCACACCGAGCAGCTTACAACAATTTGTAACGGCCCTTCGCTCCGTCGAAGGGCTAAGTAAAAAAAAAAAGAAAAAAAAAGCAGTCCATGCGGGTCAGCTGGTCCAGAAAGTTGCCCAAGCGCCGGTCCGAAATGTCCAACGAAAAGCAGCGCGAGCGCGGTCCGAGCGCGTCACTTGGTACAAAGATGAGTCCAACCGCCGCTGGTCCAAAATGTCCGATTTGTCAAATCGGTCCAGTCGGCCCCAACGGTCAAACTTTTCGATCTTTCCGATGGCCGCAGCCGGCGGGAAATGCGTACTTGCCGAGGACGGCGGGGTTTGCGTTGGCGCCAGCGCGCGAACGGTAAGCCGCCGGTTTCGCTTTGGCGCCGGCGCGCAAACGAAAGCGGCGGGTTTCGCGTTGCCCCCACCGCGCGCTCGGCAAGTGCACGTGGTGTGTGGGAAAGGAGTAGTAGGAGGAGGAGGATTAGGAGCTTGGCGTGAGTTTGGGAGAAATCGCATCCCCGACGACGATTTCTCGTCGTTTGGCCGCGCATGCCAGCGTAGCGTAATACGACACGTGGAAGTCAGGGCGCTGCGCGCTTGGCGCTGTTCATCCCTTTGCTCCTCGTCCTCCCTCTCCTCGTCGCAAATTCCCCTTGCCCGCCAAATCTGCGGCAATCTATACGACCGTAGATTATCTTCCCGCCAAATCTGTTGCAATCTCCACCACAAACTCCAGTGCGCCGCCGACACTGGCGGCGGCGGGGCGGCCATCCTCCCTCACGACGTGACGTGCCACGTGGCGCTCCCCCGCAGCCTATCACAAGCGGCAATTACACCGGCTGGGGTATCATCAGAAGCAGAAGCGCGGGAAGACCTAGAACGCGAAGAGGACAAAAACTGGCGGGAAAACGAAGACGAAGGAGGTGGCCTGACCGTTCGCAAGAGGGGTTGCCCGGAGGACATTCGATCCGTGAACTCGTCGATCTTGGAGAAATCGCTGTGCAAAGAGGAGGAGGAGGAGGAGGAGGAGGAGGAGGGGGTGAGAAAGATGAGTTCTCGTCGATCGTTTCAGATCGTAGTGGCGGCCACCAAAAAATTTGGCATCGGCAGGGACAAGAAACTGCCATGGCAATTACCGGGAGACATGAAGTATTTCAAAGAGGTGACGTCAACGACAACTGCCGAAGGCAAGCGGAATGCGGTGGTCATGGGGAGGAAAACATGGGAGTCGATTCCGCCCAAGTTTAGACCGCTTCCTGGAAGATTGAACGTGGTGCTGACACGTGGAGGAGGAGATGATGTACAGCCTGGCAAGTACCCTGAGGGAGTGATGTTGGAGAAGAGCTTGGACAACGCCCTCTCGCGTCTAGCTTCGTCGTCTTTTGTGGAGGACGTGGAAAATGTTTTCGTCATTGGAGGAGGGGAAGTCTTCAGGTGAGTAAGAGCTACTTCAACCCCCCCCCCCCCC